CATTGGAAGATTGCACTCCAATTCTCATGGTCAAATAAATTTTAAATTAATTTGTTAATCCTTATGAATATAACTCAAACAACAAAATATAATTATTTTTTATGACGATTCGTTTTTATAAATAATTATTTAGCGTGAATTTTCAGTCTAATTATCAATTTATTTTTTTTTTGATCTTTTTTGTTATTTTTTTCCTTTGTAAGTAACATAATTTTTTGGATAAGAAAACTTTATATTATTTTCTACAACACCCCAGAGTTTGCATTCGTGTCATAATATTAACACAAACACATAAACAGACATACACACACACACACACACACACACACATATGAAGTAACGTAGCTTGGAGGTGAAAAATCTTTTCCTTCCATAACTACATTAATTGCCTATAATTAAATTTTCTCACTTTTATGTATGACCTATTATTAAAATAATAATTAGATTATTCTTTACAGATAAATAAATAATTATATATATAATTATGCATAGAGAACTTGCAGTACTCTAATTTTGATGGAAGAATAAATTTTTAAATTATTTGTCATAAGTAAGTAAAAAATGAGAAACAAGGGGAGATATAATATAAAGTTATATTTGTCATAAGTAATGTAATTTATTTGACTAAAAGGGATAAAATTTTTATAAAAGTAAAATAAAAAGTATCATCTACTGATATTGGTACTACCATTCATATCTATGTGAAATGTATCTCGAAAATAGTGAGTAACCTCTTTACTTCGACATAACAGTTTAACTGAAATTAGGTTTCTTTTACTAAGATCAATCATAAATATGGAAAAAAACAAAAGAAAATAAAAAAAATAAGACAACTTAGAATAGAACATAACATCAAATTTTGATTATATTATAGGTAAAAAAAATACATAGATATTTCAAACTATTATTAAAGAAAATAGAAATGACAAAATAAATTGAAAGAGTTAGAGGACATCAGAGAGGTGCACCTCATAATTGTCAAACTGAAAAGAAAATTTATATTGATTTTGGTCTGAATTGTTTAACTAAAAAATAAAAAAAAAAAATGTTTACTTTTTTTGGTTGGTATAAGTTATTTATTTTTTTCAAAATAATGAAGAGGCATTCTATACGATGTGCATAAACTTTTTGCCATCATTTTAGATTTTTTTATCGGTCCATAAGTATAAAATTATAATTTCTGAATAAAAAACATAACAAGTTAATTTATTGTTTTTTTTATTCGTATATCTATATTATTTTTATAAGAATAATGGGAAGATATTGTCTTTGTCAAAACGTTACGACAAACAAAGTTTCGCACGAAATAGTACAAATACAACAACTATTTTTTTTTATCATTCATCACAAGTGTTAGCTTTACATTTTATTGTTTTAGTATTACATATTATAATTTAAGTATTTTATTCTTATTGCTTTGCAAGAATTATATCAATGTTTATTTCTAAAAATAAGCTAAATATGGTTCTCATAAATTTAGCGCAAAAGAAGTGTTAGGTTATTGATCTGAACATTGAGGGTGACCCATCTTGATCGTTACCTTAATATGATTTATAAATATAAAGAAAAAATAAAATTTGGAAGTATATAAAAAAACTAATTTGATATATATTGACAATTATATTTTTATTTTTATACTTTTAGATGGACGTTTATTGTCACAATTTGTATACAAAGTAAAAGTTAAATGATTTAGTACTTGAACATGACATCGAATTTGGTTTTATTTGCGAGTAAGAAATGGACTAATACTGCGAAATGATACTGGGAAATAAAAATAATAGTAATAACTAAAAGAGTGAGGGTGTCTCAACCATAAGGGAGACAAAGAGTGATGGACGATATTGACTATATAGACAGAGTAGGACAATGTATATTTATTATTCAATTATTTAATATAATGTTTGGAGTATATGTGGTCTTTTGTAATAGTTTTGGTCCTAAATCATTGAATAATTTGAGCCCAAAATATATAGTTTGTTTATTTTTTTAGTTGATATCATTTGTTTCATTTGGACTTACATTTGAGGTCATCTAAAGTTTACTAAAGTGACGGCCTATAGTTAATCTCTTTATTGATCCACAATTATGCAACTATAAATTCTGATTAATAAAATTAGCATAATGCGTTAACTATTGCTAATTGTTTGTTATTATGACACATGTTTTTCTCTTAAGATAATTACAAGAATATATTATCGCTACTGAATTTTTGCAATAGATAAAGTTTAATACGACTTACTATAATGTATCAACTACTTTTTCTTGTCATATTTTATAGTTGTTAGTGTTATCAAAATAAATTGTACTATTTTATAATTTATATAATATAATTTAAATGTCATTTTCTCATCATTTGACGAAATTATATTAATTTACATTCCACATGAGTTATGTGGAAAAAAATAAGTAATTTGTTATTGACATGAGCATTAACGATTATTGTGCATATTTGTAACTTTACATAAGGTGATCGATCTTGCACGTCATTATGAGCACCATCGGACTTATTTTGCAAATTAACGAAGTTAATATTTATTTAGCAAATTATAAAAAGTGAAAGATATGTGAACTTAATTTTAAGGTAAACGCATGCGCGGTTCAAAATTGAGTCATTTTTGTATTTTTTTCTTAAGTATTTAATTTATATTTTCAACTTTAATTGACTCATATTTTGTACATGTTTATTTCAACTATTATATATAGTATTAATATTATCTTTAGTTATTAATGAAAAAAATTATGTCATGATCAAAATATTTTAGGCAAAAATTTCAAGGAGTGTTATCAATGTGACAAATACATTGAACATCACAAATGTTTCTTTAAGTTGAATTTATTTAATTTGAAACTATTTATTACAAAATATATTGTATTTTATAATCACATTCATTATATGTTATTGTTTTTATAGTCATGGACATCTATTGTCTAATGATTATTATTTTATGATGATAATGGTAATAATGAATACAGTTCATCCACCAATAAAGTTATATTTAGGAAAACAGTGTAAAATATAATGAATAAAATTTTCATTTGACTTTTTATTATCTCTCTACATATTTTTTTAATATTATTTATTTATTTAAATAATAATTCATTTCACCTCATGTTTTAATATCAGGCCGCGCAACGCGCGGGTGGTGTACTAGTAAGTGAAAAAACTTACCATGTTTGGCCAAAAGTGGTTTAGGCGGGAAAAGTAGGCTATCCACATTAATTGGATAGCCTACAATTATATATATATAGATAATGACATGTTATTATATTTTAGGGAGATGCTACGCTACCGTTACGGAATCATTCCGTCGAGGCTTGTAACCGTTAGATCGATTATCCCTGACGGTTACATGATGATCTAAAGATTACAATTTTCGACGGAATAGTTCCGTAACGAGACAGTAGCATTTCTCTATATTTTAATAGTTTAAATTAAATTATTTTATAAGTTGTTTAATAATCATATTAAGATATTTGTGTATGACGTTTGCAAAGAATAATACCTATGTATTATATATTGAACTCTTTTATTGGACTTAAATACTATTTCTGTTGTAAGCAAAAATAAGCAAAATTTTTCACAAAATAAAAAACTTTAATGCTTGAACAGCTTACCCAACACGCAATGCCCTTCATGGAACGAACCAAAACTTGATGCGCGTTTTAAAAAAATTGGCTTTCTTCGTATAATCACAACCACAGTCTTATAATCACGAAAAATCCGTCGAAAGACAATCGATGAAAAAAATGTCGAATCGAGTGAATGTAATAAAGAATATTTTTTTTTCAACTAAATTTTAGCATGTCACTTGCATTGTAGGAAATGGTTGATGCCCGAGTACCGATGCTACTTGAAAATGGTGACATCGGACACCCGAGTGTCGGTCATTTTCGGGCCTATCGCGGGCCTTAGGTACGGGCCTGATGTCACCCTATCCCAAGCCATGACTGGTCGAGGGGACCCTTACCGGGCTCTTTTAAGAGAAGGCGAAACTGCACTTCCCAACTCATACAACAACCTTCAATTTCCTTTTAACTCTCTTGATGTTGTTAAACGGGTCAACTTGGCCCTAAACGGGTCGACCCCGCCAAATCCTCCGCACCGCTTTGGACTTCATGAAGACGAATTCGGATGTCGGCATTAATGCGGCTTGCCCGTTTACTTCTTTGCATTATTCAAATAATTCTGATCATATTAAAAGATAACACGAGAGGGCATATACTACGACCCGTGGGCATGCACTACGTGTGCTGCCGACTTCCTTAGGCCAAAACATGGAC